CCCCCAATGGCAAAGAGAGAATTCAAGAAAATTGAACTCTAGCATAGTATTTCCGAGTAACATCTTATTTTAAGACAGTGTTTGGGAGTGATTAACTTGTGGATAAAGTGATTTCCACAAAAGCTGAAAGCAAAAGCACCTCATACCTGCTTCTCCGAAACTGTGTTCTATGTACAAAATAGTGGTGGTGAAAAAGCAGAAACTGACATGCTAAACAGAGTAAAATCACTTCCACTCAAAGCAGAAGCTAAATTATTAAAAGCAGCACACTGCCAAACACCCTCTAACTCTTTCAATGTTGTGTTTTAACTACAAGTGCTTAGTTAGCATTTTAAGCCAACAATTCATGGGTGGCGTGGAGGGTGTGCAAAGTGACCAGCCACACAGGGTCTCATATTTTTAAATTTGTTAATAATTTTAAAGCAAAAGTATTCTAAAACAATAAAATAGGACCCAAAATGTAAATTATGGACCGGACCAAATTTGATTTTCCATTTTTCGGAGCCGGCCCTAGCCAACATGGTAAACATCGTTAGTCAATTAAAGATCACAATTAAAGACCACAATACTTCTATGAAGAATTTGTTTGTTCTTGATAAAGTAATATACATTATATATTTAATTGACAACGTAAAGTTTATGTTAGGGAGGAGTTTAGTGGGGGTAAGAACCATCATTTTTACTAATGGAATAATTCAGGTGCCCAAACGAACGAGTGTAAACAAATGATACCAGTAGCACTGATGTCATTTTTCGTGTACCTCTTTTTTTAAAACATAATTTTACTTTTTTAAATTCAACTACAATTCTCAATGAAATTGCACTGAAAATAAATTCAATCAAAGAACATAAACTAAAACAAATAATTTAATTTGAGCGAGTGTCATCCGTTGATACTGAATGTGTGAGTGTCAACAAAAAAAAACAAACATGATTAGTTTGGAATATCAAAACCTAAGCCAGTTGGTTAGCCGTACCCAACATTCGAAGCAACGTAAAACTCACTCTTTTTTTTTCTCCATTGGTTTTCTCTCTATACCCATTGGTTACCGATCCGCACAACGCCTTTCCTTCACAACTTCTCTGCAAATTTTTCCCCTTTTGTAAGATTCCCATGATTAATTTACCTTCTTCACACCGGCATTCATTTTTCTTGGTGTAATTTTTAAATTCCAGCTCTGTAATAATCATCCCTGCAATATAATATCCATTCATATATGATGATGATCCTTTGATTGTTCCTGTTTCCATGGCCCGAGACAAATTTGCCCAAGGTAAATTTCTCCTTTTCTTTTATTTTGAATCACCTTTAAGCTAGCTTGCAGGTTGAAATTATTTGATGGAATGCATTCAATCTTTCTGTAGCATGTGGAATAATGTAATTTCTTTTAAATAAAATTTAATAATTATTGTCATGTATGTATATTTAAATGGCTTACATCGAGTTGAATCGGCTTGTTAAACTCGTCATCCAACGAATTCAGAATATTTAAATGGTATGGAGTATTAATTGTTTGATTAGATTTATGTTCATTTTTTATGGAGTGGGATTTTGTAAGCCTGAGCTTTACACCATGGTTTTGGGTTGTATTTCTTCATCTTTTTTGAGGGAATGACTTTAGTTTTTGGGTTGTGTTTCAATTGCATGAATGGAAGTGTTGTTTGAGAAGGTTGGATTTCAAAATATCGAACCCTACTTGTAAGACGTTAACGGGTTGTTGTTATTGTAATGTCAAAAGCATTGACTTTGAGATTTTGCAGGGAACTTGTAAGGGCTGAATCAATGGGGAAGCCTTTTGCTAGGAAGAACAGTAGTGTAGTGTCAAGGTCGAATAATGGGAGCTTCAAGGCACTCGGGAAAGGGGTCGTGGAGCGGTCCTATAGCTGCAAGGCATTTGATGAGGACACCACAGTCTTCATTGACATGTCGCAAGAACTGAAGGAAGAAGGGAAAAGACTGCAGCAAAGGCACGACTATGAAGGCGCCATGTTAAAGTACGAGAAAGCCCTCGCTTTGCTCCCCAAGAACCATATCGGCGTTGCTCTCTTGCACACTAACTTGGCATCTTGCTACATGCAAATGGGGATCGGCGAGTATCCAAGCGCGATAAACGAGTGCAATTTAGCCCTTGAAGTGTCTCCCAAGTACACCAAAGCTTTGATTAGGAGGGCAAAATGCTATGAATCTTTGCATAGGCTTGATTTGGCGCAAAGGGACGTGAATCATGCTTTGGGTATAGAACCTAATAACTCGTCCGCTTTGGAGCTTTCCAATAAGATCAAGAAACAAATGGAAGGGAAGGGTCTACAGCTTGAAGATAAAGAAATTGTGCAGCACGTTGAACCGCAAATCACTTCCGCTAGCAAAGTAAGAGATAATAAGGTGAAGAAAAAGAAGAGCCATAAACATGATAAGAAGAAGGTAGAGGAAGTCGAGTCGAAAAAGGTCGAGGAGGAAGAAAAGAAGACTGAAGACAAGGTGGTGGTAGACGAGACGATAAGCATCAAGGAAGAGAAACCTGAGATGAAGACTGTGAAATTAGTACTTGAGGAGGATATAAGATGGGCACAATTACCATTGAATTGCAGTATTGGATTGGTGCGAGAAACGGTTTTGAATCGATTCCCAAACATGGCAGGTGCACTCATCAAGTATAAGGATCAAGAAGGTGATCTGGTCACTATCACGACGACTGCTGAGCTTAGGATGGCTGAGGCCTCATCTCTTGATAAAAACACTTTTTTAAAGTTGTACATCAGAGAAGTGAGTCCTGATGAAGAACCGGTTTACGAATGGTTCGAAGAGGAAAAACTTCAGAGAAGAAGGTACAAATCCTCCACAAGTAATTTGGAGAGAGGGAGGGAAGAGGAGACCGGACCGATTTGCATAGAGGAGTGGATAGTACAATTCGCACGACTCTTCAAAAATCATGTTGGCTTCGAATGCGACTCGTATTTGGACATCCATGAGATAGGGATGAAGATATACTTAGAAGCTATGGAAGATTCAGTCACGAATGAGGATGCAGAAGAACTTTTCAAAATTGCTGCAGAAAAGTTCCAAGAAATGGCAGCACTGGCATTGTTCAATTGGGGAAATGTTCACATGTCCAAGGCAAGGAAGAGAGTGTACTTCACAGAAGATGGGTCTAAAGGGTCAGTCATGGAACAGGTCAAACACGCATTTGATTGGACCAAAAATGAATACACAATGGCTGCAAGGAGGTACGAGGAAGCTGTCAAGCTCAAGCCAGACTTCTACGAAGGCTTTCTTTCTCTGGGACAACTAAAATTTGAACAAGCAAAGCTACACTGGTACTATATGGTTGGTAATGGGAGAAAAGTCGACTTAGAGAGCGGTCCATTTGCCGAGGTGCTAGAAATGTATAATGACGCCGAGGACAACATGGAGAGGGGATTGCAGATGCTGGAGGAGGCAGAAGAACAGCGGCTTAACGGACTGTCCAAACATGAAGAACACAAATCCCTTTTGTCCAAGATGGGGTTGGATGGGCTACTAAAGGATGTCAAACCTGAAGTGGCTGAAGAACAAGCTGCTAATATGAGGTCTCAAATTTACCTCTTATGGGGTGCCTTGTTGTATGAGCGTTCCGTTATGGAGTATAAGCTGGGTTTACCCACATGGGAGGAGTGTCTGGAAGTTGCAGTGGAGAAGTTTGAACTGGCTGGTGCATCTCAAACCGATATAGCTGTCATGATAAAGAACCACAATTCTAACGATACGGCTTTGGAAGGTAATCATTCTTGGGCCATTACTCTATCAAAACTAAGTACTCCCTCTGCCTTGCATTATTTGTTATACTTTCCTCATTTGAACAGCGTTAGCTTTTTACTTTTAATTAATCGCGCTTTCTCTTTCGAAATGATTTCACATAGGATAATTATGGAGAAAAACTACATTTTCCTTGTTTGTTTATTGTTAAAAAAAGTGCTAAAAGCAACGCGGCTATGTTTTTGAGAAGAAACAACCTCTCAACTTCCCACATAGAGGTAAAGTCTACGTACACTCATCCTCAAGAGAAGCCACTTTGTGGGATTTTACTGGGTTTGTTGTTGTTGCTTCTACTAAAAGCAATGTGACTATTTATAGAACAGTAGTAGTAGACCCTTGATGCATTGCTGCATTTACTACCTAAAACTTCATTGAAAGTAAAAAGAAAAGAAAGTTTAATGTGCCATTTTGATATAGCCCATTATTAATCGAAGCTAAGATATTGTTAACTACGACTATTTTAGTTTCATTGGAAATGGACATAGGGACAATAGTAGCACATTTTTGTTAGTATTGTTAACCTATTTGCATATGTTTTAATAGGGTTCAAGGTTGATGAGATTGTACAAGCATGGAATGAAATGTATGATAGCAATAGGTGGCGGAAAGGCGTCCCAGCTTTTCGCCTAGAGCCACTCTTCCGCCGCCGTGTTCCTCAACTTCAGACCGTGCTGGAGAATCTATAAACTATCAACACGTGGCATTTTCGTTTCTTTGTTGGGGTGGACAGAAGATTCTTATACTTTCATTTACATACATATACATAGAAGTTGCCCACTTAGATTACATTTTGGGTGAAATTACCTAAACATTAAACAGCCTCCCTACTTTGGAATAGGAGTAAAGTCGGCATACACACATCCTCCAAATCCTACTCTTGTGGGATTTAAGTGAAATGTTTGTTTGTTTGTTATTACTGAACATTAAACTCTAATAACCAAAAGAACATGTTTGCCTTTCTTTGCCACAAGTGTAGTGATAATGCTTCATATGCAAATAATGCAATTGTGCTATAAACTAGGGATATTAACCAAGTAGTTTTAGGCCAAAAACAAGAGAGACCCAACACCGGGAAGGAGCATTGGGCTTGCAGCCAAATGACTTGCCCCAATCCGGTGATACTAGCACCATGTCGAGGCCCAAACCGAAGTAATTTTTTTGGTCTGTTTGGGGAGCGCAAAATAGATGAGTTTTGACGTATACCACCATCGCCGACCATCATATGACACCAAATACTTGTTGTCATCAACCATTCTTGCACGTCTCTAATAACCATGATTTCAAAAATTTCTAGATACTCCCATGTAACATTTTAGAATGTAATTTCTTCCAGATTTCGAAACTCATATTATAATAATCCGTATTAATATTGTTTGGTAATTCTTTCAAAAAAGTCTTTATTAGAGGTGACACACCTGATTTCCATTACCACCCCTAATTTATCACACATGAATAGAAGTCGTAAAATGTGATCCATAACAACAAAAACTGAAATCGCGCAACATATCCCCTTAGGAACACCTATTATTTCCTAAATGAAACTATTTGAACCATTAAAATTACAAAAAAAAAAAAAAAGATTTACACTAACAAATCCCCATTGAATTTATTTATTTTCTTTTTTTGGGTAAAAAACTTACTCATTCACACAATGAAATTTATAGGCGTAATTTTTTATTTTATTATGAATTTAGTAAAATATAAAAGATTCTGAGTAGTATTATAAAAAATGGACAATCACCTAACTTCGCTCAGGCGCTAATTCAACTCCACAATCACAGGCGTTAATAAAATGTCGTTATTTACACAGTTAGTCTCTCATCAGACCAATCTTTCCGAGTCCCCAAAAGTGAGGAAAAGGAATAAAAGTTAGAGAACAAAAGATTGCACAACAAAATGACTGAACTTAAACACAAGTTATGAAGGAAACAAAAAAATGAAAAAGTATCCTATTAAACACAAGTTCAAAAGGGTGTTTGAACTTGCTTGAAGTTTTGAAAAATATTTTTGACACAAAATCCCAGAACACTTCAGAGTTGCTTCTCAACTTCTGTTTTTCTAGTCTCCATCGGAAACTGAAAATCGAGTAAGAAGCACATTCAGAAACATCATCAAAGTGCTTCTATCTAATGCAGAAGTCGAGAACCGCCCTCAAAAGCTAAGGATCAGGCACTGAAACCTCTTCGAAACATTACCAGACTCTTCAATCTAACATAAAAAAAACCGAAAACAGTCCCTAAAAGCGTTGTCAAACACCCTCTCAGCGATGCAAAACGAGCAGAAATAGCTTATGATGAATTGAAAGGGATTATAACTTATAAGATGACAGCTGGGTGCATCACAGTAAATAAATCAAACCCTGAGAATGAACAGAACTATATCTATAAAAAATGAAGAAAATGCCTTATGATTGATTTGGTGGAAGAAAAAGTGAAGCATTTCCAATTGCTGGCTGGTGCTGTATTGGAATCTGAAAGTTTCTATCCTCCCCACCCCATCCTCTCGTTCCAATAGTTCCTTTCAGCCGAAAATGCCAGCTCAAAAGGAAAAAAAATGGTATGGCCAGCCAGAGCCCTACACATCTAGGGTAGGGACTCCTAGGGTGAGAGAGGAGGGGATAGGGGAGAGGGGTTTATAATCAAACTTAGACTGCTATGATACTAAATATCCAAACGACCCCCAAGAAGAATCAAGAATGATTAAACCATGGTCCCATTGAACCATTTACATGCCCGTTACCATGGATCCTACCTACCCCGTTTGGTAAAATGGGTGGAGGTAGTCCAACAGCCATTGTAGGAGGTTGATGGGCAGCAGCAACAGGGAACAAACCATTACTGTGCTGCGGAAGATTTAGGGAGCTTACAAAATGTGGGCTTCCACCACCAGGGCTTCCTTTCCGTTGTTGGATGGTGTGGATTTGCATTAGCCCTTCTTCGTGAATCCTTGCCAATGTATCCAACTCCTTAATCGATAAAGCATCAAGGCCAGCTCCGTATAGTGGGGCATGTCTTGACATTTCTTCCTGAAGAGATACTTCAAGATGATGAATGTATTGCTGCAACAAAGCCAAAAAAAGGGATTATGGTGAGTTCTGATCTGTTTTGGTTAATTTTTAAATTTAGCACCTCAACAAGCCGTTTCTAAAAAAGGTCTCGAAGTAGTTGCAAAAGAATCACATAGAAAATTGACATAATGCCATCAGTAGCACAGCTACCGGCTAATTTTGGAATAGGTGGGGGTGGGGATTAACCTCGCTGACTTGCAATTTGGACTCCATGCCATCAATATAAGCTTCACATCTAGCAACCTGCTTTTCTTTTTCACACTTCTCCTCTTCAGTTTGTCCCACAGTTTCTGTCAACCTGCGAACTTCATCCTCAAGGGATTGCCGTATTTCTTCTCGAGTAACATTTTCAGTAGCATAGCGTTTCAATTCTTCATCAAATCTTTTTCTTGCAGCTTCAGCATTCCGCAACCGTTCGGCGAGAACATTTTTCTCCTTCACTAATTTCTGCAGCATAAAGAAATACATTTCTAAGAATAATAATAGATGACAGTACATTCTTCCCCAAACACTGGAAGGGTAAACAAAAGAATAATAATAGATGACAGTGCATTCTTCCCCAAACAATGGAAGGGTAAACTAAAAGACAGATACGCAGAAGGAAGCACATTGGATTTTCGTTATTATCATCCATCAGCAGCACAAATTCATAAAAAGATACAGCAGTGAACAGCTAAAGCAAGGGAAGGGAAAGGCACCGAGTCAAAAAGGACGAAACGGAACAATACATCAGGACATAGAGGGACATAAACAATGCCAATGATGGTGAAAATGTTGGTTATCATAGTCAACTAAATTTGTAACTTGAAGTCATGGCGATGAGGACACGATGTTTGGTGGTAGGCAAGGAATATACGTAACATATATAATTTTGTCAGAGATCTAAATCATCACACCTTCTGTTCATCTCGCTTTCGAGATTTTAATTGGGAAAGTTGAACCTCTGCGTCATGCAAGCGGTCTTGCAATGCTCTTTTCTCAGCAATGAGCTTTGCAATTTCTTCAGCTCTTTCTGACCGGATCCATTCAAGTTGGTTTTCGATATCTTGTAATCGCTCAATAAGATCCTTCCGCTCCCGAGCAAAACGATCCATCTCAGCCCTCATTTCAGACTGCATTGAATGATGTTAGTGTAATTTATGAAGTTACTTGAGTATCAATTAATCGTATAATTTTCATTCCCAAGACAGAGAGACACATGCATGTTGAAAGAAAGAGAGACCTTAAGACGGTTATTAGCAGTCTCAGATTCGTCAAGCTTTTGTGACATAACAGCTTTTTCTTTTGCCAAATTCGAGATTTCTGTTTTCCTTTCCTCACGACTGCAGAGAATTTCATCTTCACTAGCACATAACTGATGCCAGAGTGCTGCTCTATCCACATTTGCAAGTTCAGCAACCTCCCGCATCATACCAAGAACTGGTCTAACAGCTTCTTTTTCCTCACATATTAAAGTTTCTAAAATATCTAAATCTAAATCCACTTCACGAGTACTCTCTGTTATACTGGTAGCACGATCAACAAGTCTCTTGAGGATCCTCAATCGGTAAGAATCGTCAGCATACCATTTGAACAATATGGTGTAGAGAATTTTGGCAAAGCCTTTCACATGCGGGTCTCTTGAAAGTGCTACTGTCTCAGCAAGACCAAGAATTGAATTAAAATCATCTTGTTGGGCCCTTAGTTGATCGATGGCTTCCCCTTCCACGACCACATCAGTGTGCTGAAAATTTTCAGCAGCATATTCAGAGGTTAAATTTAATCTCCGAGCAAGGCGCCTTTCCAAGGCCATGGCTACAGATTGAGCCAGCAAACCACCTCGAGCAACAACTTTCTCAAATGCTTGGGATGCTTCAGCAGCAAGACAGGGGATGGATAACATCTCAATCAAAATATAGATATCAGAAACATTATTACCAGACGCGAAAGAATGCTCATCCACAGGATCAGATCTTTCAGTGTTATGACAGTGTTCCCCAAATAAGAAAATCCCACATGGAGCTGCCGCGCAGTTCTCACTGAAGCCATTATGAGAATCAATATCTCGAAGGATTGCCTCAGCAATATCAGCACAGCTACTAACTGTACGGCTCAAATAATCAAGGACGCACTGGGAAACTTCTGCCCCCAAATCCTTTAACCTCATGCGGGTTGCTCGGACCTGCATCGAAGAGAAAAAGAAATGAATTTGGTAAAGAGATAAATGTAACATCTTTAAAACTACAGATCCACTTTTCTATGCATACTGCTTCCGGAAGATGTTGGCAATGTATTGCAGCTTTGAATATGAAATCCACTGTTGCAGCGAGAGGTTCATCATTGCAACCCGACAAAAGGTGAAATGACTGGAAAAGAACACTTTCCCATGTATCACTACTGCACTCCAACTGACTAAGTGCATTAAAAACCTGTGAAATAAAGAACAAGCAAGCAAATTGTACAAGTAACCAGTTAGCTGCCAACTTCCAAGTCCCAATGCACAATAGATGAAAAAATCTAAATAGACATTCCAGAAGCAAAAATTCCAGTTCATCTTACTGGAACTCTCAGTCCAGGCTCCGCATCTGGCTTTTGAAGTCGTTCTAAAAGTGTGCACGCAGCAAGTGAATGTTCAGAGTGTTCAACCAATTTTGGTACCAAGGCTACAAGGTCAGGCTGTAGATGCTTTGGGGCTTTATCAAGTACAAGTGCAATCTTTTGAGCGGACTGGGGCCTCCTCCTTGGTTCGGGACATCCATGTGGAACAGCTCCATCAAGTGCTCTCAAGGACTTCACAATCAATCCAAGAAGCTCTTCAGACTGCTCCGGCCACTTTGTCTGA